TAGAGACGGGGTTTCACCGTGTTAGCCAGGATGGTCTCAATCTCCTGACCTCGTGATCCGCCTGTCTCGGCCTCCCAAACTGCTGAGATTACAGGCGTGAGCCACCGCGCCCGGCCGAGAATAATTTAAAGGAATGGTGATATGACTAAAATCAGCTCATCTACACTTCTCCAGGAAGGCGGTCTCTTAGAAAGGCAGTCTTCAGAGCTGATCAGGCACAGACAGTGCCTTCCTACCACCAATGAGAACTGCTTGAATCCCTACAGAGCTGGGGCACTAGCTGGAAACTCTGACCTCAGCCATCTCTTGCTGTTTACCTGCTAGGTGGATATGGGGCAGCACTCTTGACAGGTTTCATTCCTAACTCTTAGCCAACTCACCCTTTTATTTCTGTCTTGGGATAGGCAACAGGATAAAGGAAAGAACTCCCAGATGTTTCCAGGGTAACACAATTTTATACCTTTTATACATTGTAGAACAATAGCTGGAAGGGACCAGCAGGCTTATCTGTTCTGCTTCCTTACTGAACCCGGCCACCTCTCTATAGACTGTAATTTTAAAGTTCGAAGAGACTTGAGACCATGTCGTTTTTCCTGACATTTTAGTCACTGTAGGAAATTGAGGCATGGAGAGGGAAGGTGGCTAATGTGAGGTCACATGTTACTGACAAATTCGGAAGCTTTTTGGCATTAATCTATATTTCCTTCTGTGTTCCTTAATTAGTTAGAGGATAAAATGGCATATTCTTTGTTTTCGGTTTTTGTTTTGTTTTGTTACCCAGCCCGGAGTGCAGTGGTGCAATGATGGCTTGCTGCAGTCTTGAACTCCTGGGCTCAGGGGATCCTCCTACCTTAGCCTCCTGAGTAGCTGGTACCATAGGCACACACCACCATGCCCAGCTATTTTTTTGTATTTTTAGTAGAGGTGGTGTTTCACCTTGTTGCCCAGGCTGCTCTTGAACTCCTGGAGTCAAGCAGTCTGCCACTTTGGCCTCCCAAAGTGTTGGGATTACAAGCATGAACCACCACACGCCCTGCCTGAAAGGAATTCTGAATGGACTTATCAACAATTATTTGAATACCACAGTTGCTGTTTCCTCTGAATCCTTGAATCCTTTGTAGAATTGACAGCACAAACCATAGTTCTCCCATTCATAGTTTTCACTTGGTTTCCTTGCCATGTGTGGGTTAGGCATCTTCTGAGGGCCCTATGTAGGTAGATGTTGCAGGGGAATGGATGGCCATTTTTAATAAAGGAATAAGGTCTGGGCTTCATTTTTCCTAAGAAGGAGCTGTCTTCTCAATTCATTTGGCTGCTGGGTTTACGTGATAATTTTTTCTTTCCTTCAGAGAGGCTAATTTCTTTTTATCTCTTTTGGTGCCTATTGGTACTTATCTCAGGGCATTTTGTCATTTCAGAAAATGGACCCAAGTGGGGTCAAAGTGCTGGAAACAGCAGAGGACATCCAGGAGAGGCGGCAGCAGGTCCTAGACCGATACCACCGCTTCAAGGAACTCTCAACCCTTAGGCGTCAGAAGTTGGAAGATTCCTATCGATTCCAGTTCTTTCAAAGAGATGCTGAAGAGCTGGAGAAATGGATACAGGAAAAACTTCAGATTGCATCTGATGAGAATTATAAAGACCCAACCAACTTGCAGGTACGTCTGATCTCCTGGGATTCCTGCCAAAATTCAAGAGCCCAAATGTTCTTACCCAAAAATCAGATAAGGAAAGTTACTTAATTATAACCTTGAGAGATTGGACAAGAAGAAGAATATAATAAGGAAGGACAAACTCAGTTTTCCCGTATTGTATTAGTGAGGGTGAATGTGGAATCTTACAGCTATTAATTGTCTTTTCTGAATGCTTTAGACTGATGGTTCTCAAATCTCTGCCTTGATACTACTGGTGATCTTTAAACATTTTTCGGGAAGGTTCTGGGTTAATCTCTTGGAATGAGGTTTTTGTTTTGTTTTGTTTTTGTTTTTGTTTTTGTTTTCTGAGACGGAGTTTCACTCACGTTGCCCAGACTGGAGTGCAATGATATGATCTCGGCTCACTGCAACCTCCACCTCCCAGGTTCAAGTGATTCTCCAGCCTCAGCCTCCCAAGTAGCTGGGATTACAGGTGCCTGCCACCTTACCCAGCTAATTTTTATATTTCTGGTAGAGATAGGGTTTCGTCACGTTGGCCAGGCTGGTCTTGAACTCCTGACCTCAGGTGATCTGCCCACCTTGGCCTCCCAAAGTGCTGGAATTACAGGCATGATCCACTGCACCTGGCCTGGAATGAGTTTTTTGAGAAAGGCATAACAGTGTTGTTGCTGGCAAAAATTTATAGTTATTCTGGAGTCAGATATCAAAAAAATAAATACTTACATTTTTGAGTCCCTTTCAGAGACTTGGTAAATCTTACCAAAAGCAAAGCGTGAATCTTATGGTATGTAAATTATATATTTAAAACTTTTTTTTTTTTTGAGACGGAATTTTGCTCTTGTTGCCCAAGCTGGAGTGCAATGGTGCAGTCTCAGCTCGCTGCAACCTCCGCCTCCCAGATTCAAGTGATTCTCCTGCCTCAGCCTCCCGAGTAGCTGGGATTGTAGGCATGTGCCACCACGCCCGACTAATTTTTTGTATCCTTAGTAGAAACAGGATTTCATCTTGTTTGCCAGGCTGGTCTCAAACTCCTGACCTCAGGTGATCCACCCGCCTCAGCCTCCCAAAGTGCTGGGATTTACAGGCGTGAGCCACCGTGCCCAGCCAGAACTTTTTTTGTAAAAAGGGAAAGCCAATTTCTTCTTACTTATTTTGGTGAAAGATTTTTTTTTTTTTTGAGACAGAGTCTCACTCTGCCGCCGGGGCTGGAGTGCAGTGGCCGGATCTCAGCTCACTGCAAGCTCTGCCTCCCGGGTTGGACCATTGATGGCCCTCACTGGCCAGGCTTTCAGAGGGCCAGGAGAAATGCAGTCAGTATTTGGGGTATTGAGCAGGTAGAGAATGGGTGAGGTGCCAAATGATGTGTCCCTAACTAGAGGGAGCAGGATTGAGGAGGGAAGGAACAGGGGAGTAAAAAATGCTGATGCTGTGTGGTTGCGTCTGAGGCTCACTTCAAGGTCCACCAACAGGGAAAGCTTCAGAAGCATCAAGCCTTTGAAGCTGAAGTGCAGGCCAATTCAGGAGCCATTGTTAAGCTGGATGAAACTGGAAACCTGATGATCTCAGAAGGGCATTTTGCATCTGAAACCATACGGGTGAGTATGAGTAGCTTGTGGTGTGGCGGTTTCATCTGGGTGGAGCATTGTAGATTCATGCATACATGTCAGTTTGGGTTCCCAAAAAGATAGACTTTTCCAGCTTTTAAAAGAATTTATGAAGTCTCCTTAAGAAGTTACCCAAATCCTGCCTTTGTAATATGACAACATGAATATAAGCAAGGATTTGTATACTCAGTGAGGAAATTAATATTCCTTTTGTAGAGCAAATTAGAATGTGATTATACTTTAAAAGAAAACTGTAAATTTAACATTTGTAAATGGCAATGAGATGGGAGAGCATATTAGTGAAACTGGCAAATTTAAGGACTCGAATATAAAGATAAATAGAAACAGTCACAGACACTATAAAGAAGGTTATCTGTGGGAAAGCTTGTTGTCTTGAATCTCGGCTTGCCCTGGGAGGGGTTTACTGAGGTCTAGGCAGCAAGCCTGTTAAAGCTCCAGCTCTAAGGAACGATTTGTGGCACCTATTGGTCAACGACTGTGGTGATGGGACTGACTTTGAGGCAGGAATCCTCGAACTCTTTGGTCTGGCTGATTTTAGTGACAGTTTATTGGGGCTGAGGTAGTAATTGATGTTTCTCTGCTTCGTTTCACATTTCTAGTATGAAGATATTAAGGGAAAACAGACCTCTTGACAGTGAGGTGTGCACATTGAGTTTCTTATAAGTGGGTGCACTTATCTGTCTTTGATACACATCATGTCTAGCTGTGTGTTCTTTTTGGTTCTTTGTCATCTAAAGCCACATTGCTTGAGGCCCACCCTTTTCTAGTATTTTACCTGTCAAAGCAGTCCTGAAGATGTAAATGAAAGCTGAACCCTTAAGCCCCAGCTAGAACTGTTTTGTCCCCCACTCTTCCTTGATAACTGTGTGGAGGATTCTTTCACTGAGGATCCAGTCTACTTATTTTCAACAATAAATATTTGTTTTCTCACGTTTGCTTGGCAATACTCTGCAGTCTCATATTAAGGACTTACAATTAGCCCTAATATGTATGATGAATAATTATTAACTATTACTAATAATGATGACTGTAAATAGGAAATAAAAGTGAATTCCAAATATCATATGACATTTAATAACATTTAACCCATTTGGGCAGTGTAGTATGTGTCTACAATTAAATACAGATATTTATCTGCCCATCTTCCCACTATTTTATATACAGTCTTAGAGTAAATGAGATCAGTATGTCTTATTATTCTATCCAGGGATAGAAGTTGTTTTCCCAGAGTGAATGAGGCACCTCTGTAGTAGAATATGTAACCAGCTTATAGATTGGAACATTAGACAGAGATCAAGTGTTTGGCTTCAGTAATTAATCAAGGGGGAAGGGAGGAGGACCCAAAGCTGACTTTATTTATGTCTATTAGTACCCTCTGCCCTGTTTAGACAGCCTATTTATTTATTTGTTTATTGAGACGAAGTTTTGCTCTTGTTGCCCAAGCTGGAGCAGAATGGCAAGATCTCGGCTTAATGCAACCTCTGCCTCCCAGGTTCAAGCGATTCTCCTGCTTCAGTCTCCCAAGTAGCTGGGATTACGGGTGCCTACCACCATACCCGGCTAATTTTTGTTTATTTAGTAGAGATGGGGTTTCACCATGTTGACCAGGTTGGTCTTGAACTTCTGACCTCAGGTGATCTGCCCGCCTCGGCCTCCCGAAGTGCTGGGATTACAGGTATGAGCCATCGTGCCCAGCCCAGATGATTTATTATTATTATTATTTTTTTATTTTTTTGAGATGGTGTTTTACTCTTGTTACCCAGGCTGGAGTGCAATGGCGTGATCCTGGCTCACTGCAACCTCCACCTCCCAGTTTCAAGTGATTCTCCTGCCTCAGCCTCCTGAGTAACTAGGATTACAGGCATGTGCTGTGCCACCACAGCCAGCTAATTTTGTATTTTTAGT